TCATGATTATTCTTAACCAACTTATTCTGGTGGAACTAGGTTTCAGAATTAGTCAAGTATATTAAGATGTCCTGAACATTTTTCACCCGAGTTACACATATCCTCTATTGTACAAGTTTTGCTGTTCTTCAAAACCTCAATTTCAAATGAGCTATTAGGAAATACCAGCATAAGCACCAATTCCAGATGAAGCTTGGATCTCGCTCCCAAGGCAGTGTTACAGAATGTCCTCAGCTACAGCAATTTGACCACTGCATAGTGCCATGCTCTTAAAAATGTCGACAGAAACGTTTCAAGATGAGCAAAGTGCAGCTTACAATTGAGTCTTCAGAAGGTGTCTCCCCTAAGTCACTCACCAAAGCCAGCTGCTGCCTGCACTTCATGATGGCATCCCGTTTGGAAGGTATCTTCAAGTGCTGTATCAAACACTCGTCTAACGTGCAGACACGGTGTGGGAAGAAGCCACCTGTTGCCACTGAGAAGTGCAAAGCATCGGCAACCTGTGACAGAAGGGATCAGTATGATGTGACCAGTGTTTGTTAATCCAAGGCAAGGAACGCAGAGGTTTGGCAATAAGGATGCATATTAGAAGCAAAGTATACTGCAAACAAATTAATCTTCATTTTGACTGCACACAGTTGTAGATCTAGTAATTTGACTCCTTAAAACTGTTAAGTTACATAAAAGGGTAAACTGAGTTTTAAGAATTACTTATGTAAGTCATATTAGACTAAGGCTTCAGCCCAGTACTCCTGTCTCCAGACGGCAGGTGGTCAGGAGCAGTGTCAGAAGACAGCTAATGTCCCCAGGAAACTAACGGTTTTACCTTTTATCTAAAACCTGAAATAGTGATGCAATGGAGGGAAAACATAATGAAAAAACGTGTAAGTTGTCATAGAACCATACAATCATTAAGGTTGGAAAAGCCGTCTAAGATCATCAAGTCCAACCATCAACTCAACACGATCATAACCTGAAGTGCCACGTCTACATGTTTTTTGAACACTTCCAGGGATGGTAGCTCCACCACTGCCCTTGGCAGCCTGTTCCAATGCTTCGCCACTCTTTCAGTAAAGAAATTTTTCCTAATATCCAATCTCCCCTGCTGCAACTTGAGTCCATTTCCTCTCCTCCTATCACTTGTTACTTCGGAGAAGAGACCAACTCCTGCCTCACTACAACCTCCTTTCAGATACTTGTAGAGAGCAATGAGGTCTCCCCTCAGCCTCCTCTTCTCCAGGCTGAACAACCCCAGTGCCCTCAGCCATTCCTCATAAAACTTGTTCTCCAGACCCTTCATGAGCTTCGTTGCCCTTCTCTGGACCCTAAAACCCAATTTTGCCCGTAAGATCTGTCTTTGACAGCACACAGAGCGAGAAGGAAAACAGACAGCAGCAGTGACTGCACGGCATGGTGTTTGATTGTTTCTCATCCTGGTTTCACCTCTTTTACATTTTTCCTGTAAGAGCAGGAACAGCCCTGACTCTTGTCCCTAACCAGAGAACACAAAGGTAAATGGGACTATTTCAACAGGTGCAGAGAGAAGACAATGGGAAAAAGGAAGCCTGGAAGACAGTCCACTCACTGCGGGAATGGAGAGGGAAGAATAATAAGCGTGCATCCACACTCAAAATCTGAGACTGAGCTATCTGTCAGGAGAACAACCTACCCTTCAGAGTTCCTTTGCTACTCAAAAGCCCAAATTCCCACTCCAGTCCCCTGATATCCCCCACTGACCTCTCAGAGCCCTTTTCTCCTTCCTACTCTCTCCCAAGAAATCTTGAGCCAACACTCAACACAAGCATCTACAATCCCACAAACAAACCCATAAACTTACAGCCCAGCAATGTTTTATTACAAGGGTTACAGCTGAAGCCACTGTTGGAGCTGTTCTACCAAGCACTGCCCAGGTGCTACCTAGACCAGACAATATAACGCTTGGCAGCACCAGCTCAGCCCCTGCAATAGTCACCACCAAGTTGTAACCAACCTCCTCCGGCCTCTTACAATGAGGGTAAATTCCAAGACCAAACCCTCGTTTCTAACTTATCTATAAAGTTTTTGAAAAAAAACCCCTCTCCCTGTCCAATAGCAAAGGCAAACAAGCTGATATGATTTATTAATGACTAAAGCTGCCCCTAAGACATCAACTAAGTAGATAACAGCTGCCTTCCGTGGGAGAAAAGCCGTATTTACTAACCTTACTGGAAGGAAGTGCTAAGCCAATCCTTTTACTGAACTTCCAAGGAATAAAAGACTATATGAAGGTTATTACAAAGAAAATGCAAAACATCAGAGCACCACAAGAATAACAAACTATTCTGGACTAAGGAGAGACATGTCAGATCTCCAGTGGTCTGTGGTAGGGCAGAGAATCTAGGACTGCCTATATTTCTGCTAGGCTAACTACGTTGCTGCAGTCCAAAGACAGGACGTCTACAACTACCAGCTGAAAAGTGACAGAAAACATGCCTGGGGAAAGGAACTGCAACAATTCTAACTGATGAGTTCACACAAGAGAAGGAAATGAAGAATATTGAGGTAAAGCTAATCTTCACTGGATTATAAGCACAAATCTCCTGCTAAAGAGGAAGTTTCCATCACTAATTACTGAACAGTCCCTTGTATTGTACTTCTGACCACTAAAACCTTCTCTTGCTTTTCACTCTCAGTGGCCAAATGCAGATGAAGATGAACCTCTGTGAAGACTTTCTCAAGCAATCAGTTACTTTTACTCAGTCTAAACAAAGATGATGTTTAAATTAATGGAAATGTATTTCATTCTTCTAGATGGTTAGAGTGAATTTCTAGTAAGTGCTTCACAAAAAGCATCTATGAAAATTTGCTCAGAGGTATCTGCCAGTTATTTGCTCCAGCAATATAGAATAGAAGGCAAAACAGCTCAATTCCATAGTATCAGGCCTGCTGCAGGGTACCCAAAACCAGACTACTTCACTAACTTACTTATATTACAAGTAGGCCAACAAATCAGAGTACTTGAATCTAAGCCTAGAGATAAGATAAGCATGCATGGCAGCTCACACCAAGATAACAGAACAATGAGTGCAATTCTGTGTGCCTCAGACCCTAGGGTGGGTAGTTCTGGTTAGGTATTTCCACTGTATCAGTTAGTGTTCCAGCCAGTACCACTGGGAATTTTCACCCCTACCTTCTTCATTCCGTCAAGACTTAACACTGACACTGACTGATACTTGATCTGTAATGGAATAACATAATTTTGAGGGGCAAAAGGGCAAACTAAGATTAGAAAGGTACTGAAAGAAACTTCTGTTGTATAAAGCTTACTACATGGCCCAGATTAGGGCTGTGAAGAGTTACTACAGGCAGTCATATCTGTGACATGAAAAGTCACTATATAGGCAAGGACAAGTCATACATAACTATGCGTAACATATCCACGCTCATTTTGGAAGATCACAGCCATTACGTTATTTTCTTCTCTCTCTAAAGACTCTCTCCTATTAGTCACAAAGCATTAACTACCACACATACTAGGGCCAGCATCAGTAAAAAGAGATTTTTATGGTAACCTGGCCTGTTCTCTCGCTTCCACCACTACTTTTATTAGCAGGTGCTTCCCAGTGCAAGACACCTGTAGTATGAATCTGTTTCTGCACTTGTGAAAGGGGCAGAAAGAATAACAAAGAATATAAAGCACAAGCTGACCCGGCTCCTGTTTAAGCCACAGTAGCCTCAGAGTGTGCCAATTTTGATCAAGATCAGTTTACACATCTTAAAAAAATCCCCAACGTTTAACCTGCTGTTAATATTAGACTCTAGGTAACACTATCAGCCTTGCCTGCTGGTTCTTCTTAGCTAGAACAAACCCACTATATTTACATAGTTCAACAACTATCACATTATAGTAATGTTAAACCTTTTCCAAAAGAATGCCCTGACCAAGCCTGAAGTTTCTCTTGTTGCAACTTTTGTTCCCAACGAGAATATCTGAAGGATACCTGCGTATCAAAGACATTGAAGAGACGGACACCGTATTGGTGAAAGAGGCAGTCTGAGATCCAGCGGCAGTCATGCATGACCTGAAGCAAGAAGGAGCTATCAGTCAAACTTGTTTCCAACTGCAACTTTTTTTGGTGCAGACAGATCTTTATATATGTGCATGGCCTCTGATACCATAAATGTTATCACACACCCTGTACCCTTACCTTCAAGATGTTTTTATCTTCCAGCACCATTTGTAATCCATTTTTGAAAGCCTGAGGTCCCAGAAGGAAGATATCAAATAGAAAAATACGGCTCTTTGTTGCTATCTACGACAAATTCAGTTGCAGAGAAAATGAATGAGGGACAGAAGAACAAAGAATTCGAAAGCAAGAGACTGCACTGCTGCCCATGAGCCACAAACTCCTGTGTACAGGCTTATATTGGGGAGAGCAGGTTTAGTATCCTTAATGCTAATTCATAAACAAGTCTGGTTTCTTCCAGAGGTGCTCAGAGGCTCTTACAGTAATTAGACAGAATGATCCGATAGTCCACTATACACAGGTAAATACAGCATTTTGAGACATATCAAGAGCAAAACATACGCACAGTACTTAAAATAAATTTCTGCACTTATTGTGGTGACATTTTTAAAGAACTAACAAAACTCCTGTGCCCATAACATTCCTATCATTGTCACAGACCACTACCGAAGAAATAAAGGACATCATTTTCCGTCCTAGCATTTCAACCAGGATATAAAATTTAGGTTTTGCCTACGTTAAAATTCATAATGGTTTAACAAAAGCTGTTCTTTGAAAGCAGTTTAGTCATATCAAAGCAAACATTTTGTGCATGCTTACTTTTGCAAAAAGGAGTTAAGTTTGAAGCATGAACTCTCACACAAGTTTTTGCTTTGAATAAAAACACTCACTTTTAAATCTATTTTTAAATAAACTAATTATTTTGAGCTGACCTATTAAGCTCTTCTCCTTTCTGTCTCTTTGTTTTGAAATGTTGATAATATCACAACTAATTAAGATACTGTATCATCTTTAGATGGACTGAAGAACATCGTACCCCTTACCAAATCAGCTATGTAAGTCTTAAACACAGGCTAATCCCCAAAAATTTCTCCATTACGTCTCTGTCTAGTGGCACATTTTGGGATATAGCTGTGTCTTACCTCAAGCCATGCGAGTTTTCCATGACGACACAAATTAACTCCTTCTCCTGCTATACTGATGACACACTGCTGTTTTAGGTGCAGCACCTAACCAAAAAAATCACAGATAAAATAAATAGTGCCAGAGAATGACAAGCAGAAGGACAAAGAATAAACTGTATTTTTTCTGGTCATGATCCACTTTTAAAAAGGTAAACACAGATCAAAACCACAATAAGTCTCGGATATATAGTGATCCAAGAGAAACAGGTACAGTATCAGTCCACTTACAGATCGACAGCTGGAAATTCCACAACTAGAAACATCAATAAAAGGTTTAGCAGACATTATGGGTAACTACAGAATACAGACTCCTCTGATCTCCTCCAAGAAATTCTCCTAAGGAGGCTTTAGGAACTTCCTTCAGACCACATAAAGAAGGTGTTCCTTTCAGGTTAAAAAGGAGAAGTCATTTTCTAAGGTATAAACGAAAGACCTGATAATCTTACAGACACAAAAAAGTTTTCAGTTAAGATAAAGCAACCTGTCATGCACATGTAAGACAATAAGGTATAAACAGAAATAAAAGAAGCCAGTTTCTCTCTCAAGCTACAGTTAGATTCCTCTGTAAGCAGGGAAATTGCCTCCTGTGGAGAAGAGCGGGGAAGAGCTTCTTCCTCTGTATATGCACTAGATTCACCATAATAAGAGCCCACATCCCACCTGAAGGTACTGCAAGACAAAACGGCATGGAGAATCTACAGTATTGCTGGTCTGATTCAAGATTTAAAAAATACTATTAAAGTCAATAATAAATGTATCGTTAGCTCCAAGTTCTGAAAGAAGGCCTTTTACCAAGTGCGTTTATGTTACTATACATGATTTAAGAGAAAAAGGTCCAGGCATGTCTGCAGTTCCAAACACCTACAAAACCAACACAATCAATTCCCTCTCCAAATGCCCAAAATCCTCATGTTGTTCCCTTCCTAAATAAAATGATTATTTGCTAAATAGTAACATTGACCCTTCACCTCAGTTACTGGTGACAGTCTGAAAACAGCAATCAACACACACTGATGCAGTCACATCCACCCACTGCAAACTCATGTGCACTGCACTTTCCCTGCACATACACACACTTTAAATATACTTTGATGTCACTGGAGACACCATTTCTACTTGACTTAAAGAAGCTAGTTACCACCTATTACTCAAATTTCACTACAGTCTGCAAAAGTGTTTTCCAGTGTAAGATGTCATCAGGTAGTGCTCACAGTCCTACCACCTGATGGATCGACCAACAATTAGAATGAAACGAGATTAGAAGTCATAAGAGCTTTCATTAGTACTTACTGCTGGGCCAAATTTATCCTGGAGACAATCAACAACTGTGTACTTCACATCCTCTTCTTCCTTCTTGTCTAAAAGTAAGAAAAAAAGGAATCACTTGAATGAACTTTGCACAAGGTATGTATTTTAGTTGTATAATCACTCTACTTTTCTGGGTTAGCTGTTTCGTTCTACCCTTTCTGCTTGTTGAACACACTCCAACAGATCACTGAACTCTGACCCAGATCTGTAGAGTCTAGGGTATGACTCAAAGTTCTGGTTTTTTGATAGAAAAATTGGCTGTTTAAAAGTGAGCTGCAGCATTACTTTTTGTTGTTATGATGCATAAAGGAAACAAAAGGTTTAAGTTAAAAAATTACATCCATCTGAAAAAACAGAAGCACTGTGATTCCCAGGCTTGTCCAGGGAAGGAAGAAGATTGTAAAAAAGACAAAATAGGCAGCATTGTCACAAAACATAGACAGGTAAGTGATCAAGGAAGCAAAGAGAACTCAAGCTAGACAATACTATTTTTAATATCTGCTTAACAATGTCCAATGAACAGGTTAAAAAAGGGTTTTCTTAAAGATTCTCCCTTTTCTTTAGGTAAGATGTAAACCTTAATAATACGCATCCATGTTAACCTTAATAATATGCATCCATGTCAACACAAGGACAATCTTCTAAACTCTAAAACAGTAGTCAATTTAAAGGCCGTAAGAAGAAGTTTTAAATTTACTTTCCCAGATCACATCAACCCTTGCTCGTTTTCTCTCCCACTACCCAGGTAAAGGCAGCTTCCTTTAGCCCATACAGGTCTTGCACTCTTGTCACGTCTCTACAAGAACAGAATGAGCTGATCACATCTGGGCTTTGTACCTGTATGTATTAGCAGGAACCACACAACCAAATCAAGGGAAGCACGTGACAACCAGCACAGAACCAAAGAGTAACAGTCTTACAGAGCTTTGAGTTACCTATCACGTCACAGACATTTCAGGAACAAGTATAAGATTAAAACAATCACCAGAGAGGAATGCTCCCTGGCTGAAGCACTTTGATTTCTCCAAAAGCTACAGGATAAACATCCTGGGAAGCAGATGAGTTTCCTTCTGATGTTGTGAACATCTCTGCAGGCAAAGAGCATGTCTGCAGATCAGGAGTTCTGTACCTATCTTTTTGTGGCCATTGTTTTTTCAGAATATTTCCCATTCTGATACAGGCAAACAAAGAGATCACAGCCTCTGGGAAAAGAGGTCATCTGACAAATGACATCGCCTGATTAATATCAACATTACCTGAGGGGGAGTATTTTAAGCTATTTGAGGCTTTGAGCTGGCTCGCTAGGGAGACGTGAGGAGATCTCCGCGGGCCACAGTCTGCTGGTACCACGTCTGCTTGTTTGTTCCCTTCAACATGCAAAGTGCACCTGCATGAGCAAAGTGACCGGACATAGCACAGAGGTCAAAACACTACATGTTCCACCAGCATGCCCATTTTAGTAAAGAATATTATTTAATCCAATGCATTCTGTGCCCACACAATCAACTGCTGCATAAGATTATTTTGCACAAAAGAGCCTTTATTTCAGAAAAAAAAAATCACATTTACTCTGAAAGCAAAAGGTGAAAGTGAAACCTGAACAGATGTTTACTGTACAGGTCACCAAAGGTTTCAAGAGAAGAAAGAGTTAAAAGTACAAAGAATGAAGTACCTGACCTGAGCCCAAGAACTATGCAATTTAGATATCTAAAAGTCTTTACACCCAATCAATAATATTTGATTCATTACCTGGTTACTGTAATTCAAGGGTGATTTTACAAGTTCACCAATATATAAACCAGTTACATCCACTGTAACTTTACTGTAATCAAATGGAAGTTATTGAATCATATAAAATGGTATCATCTCAGGAACAAAACAAAAAAAGAGTTAGAAAACATTCACCTGACTGAAACATGTCACATAGAAGATAATTTCTATGACAGGACAGTCTGAGGTCAAGAAGACCTCACTGGGGAATACGACTTTATCCTGGGATAGCATTAATTTTCTTCCTAGTAGCTGGTGCACTGCTGTGTTTTAGAGTTGTTATGATAATGGTGATAACACACTGTGTCATGGGTTAGGGCTGGGCCGGCCTC